CCCTGATGAGGAATCACGAGTGGCTTTTGTGATTGGGCATCTTGAAAAGGGCGAGAGACTGGGTTAGACCCCTGATGGCAGCTAATAGTGACGTCTTAAAGGACACGATGAAGTTCTTTCGCGCCATGGATCTGATGTTTTCCAGCGATATTGAAAAGGGAGTGGTGCGCAGACAGTTAATGGCTTGCAAACAGGGAGCCGATCTGTACGTGAGTACTGGACTGAGTTCACCATGCTGATACACAGATTGGGGTGGGACTTATCGGCGGAACCCATTCAAATGCTCTTTGAAGAAGGGCTTTCTTCGGCTGTGAAAGATGAACTTTCCCGGGCGCCCAGGGCGGAGTCTATGGACCAGCTGACCAAATCAGCGCTGGCCATAGGAGGCGCGCCAGGAGCGAGAGCATTGGAGAGGCGGGAAGGGAAGGGGAACGTTGGAAGGAGTTCCGCATTCCAGAAATTCCAGAGCCAACTGTCCCGCCGGCAGAGCCGATGGAAATCGGAACAGCGCGCGCGCGCAGTTTCAAAGCCCAGTGAGGGGAAAGAAGGATGGAAAAGGCGCCCGGAAATGCTATCTCTGCCAACAGCCAGGGCACTTTGCCAGAGTCTGCCCCCAGAGGAAGGAATGGCAAGGGATGGTGGGAGCTGTGGAGGGAAGAGAGGAAAAATACCGGAGCAACTAAAAGCCAACGCCTGGCTGCCATTGTCGGGGCACAGCAGCCAGGCCAAAGAGCAGTGAAAGTGCCCACTCCAGAACCTCCTAAACCCGCCCTAGTGATAGAAGTGACACTAGAGCTCCCAAACGGACACCCTCTAAAGATAAAGGCGCTGTTGGACTCAGGCAGCTCCTGCAATTTCATGAGCAAAGAGTTTGCAGCTGAACACCAGATACAGACGCTCCCTTTAAGCAACCCCCTGCAGGTAACCACGATCGATGGCAGGGAGCTGTTGGGAGGAGAAGTCAGCTTGCAGACCGTCCCAATGATAATGAAGGTGGCAAGGCACACTGAACTGATAGCTTTTAATGTGGCCACCTTGGGAGGAGCTCCCATTATATTGGGGATGAGCTGGCTAGCGTTACATGATCCGCTGGTGGGCTGGCATCAGAGAGTGGTTTCTTTTGGGTCAGCACATTGCTTAGAACATTGCAAAGAGGAAAGGTTTTGGCAGGGGCCCAAGCCACCCTAGCAGGGACTGAAGTGAAGGAGAACGTGAAGGTACCACGACAATACGCAGATCTCCGCGACGTCTTCAGCGAAAGGGAAGCTGACCAACTACCACCGCATAGAGCCTTTGACTGTCAAATCAATTTGCTCCCTGGGGCACAGCTCCCTGTGGGCAAGCTGTACGCCATGTCAGACAGAGAGATGCAGGAGCTAAGAGAGTTCATTGACAAGAACCTGAAGAGAGGGTTCATCAGAGAGTCCAGGGCGGTGGGGGCAGCCCAGTGTTTTTGTGGACAAAAAAACACGAACAAGCCGAGACTGGTGTGTGACTTCAGGGCCTTAAATGCAGTGTCAGAACCAGTGGCCTTCCCGATGCCCAGGATTGACGACATTTTGACAAGGGTGCGAAAGGGAAAGATTTTCACCAAGCTGGATCTAAGGGGGCGTACAACCTGATACGAATAAGGAAGGGGGATGAATGGAAAACCACCATGTTCACCCCTTTAGGGGCATTTGAATACTTAGTTATGCCCTTCGGTCTACAAGCAGGCTCCGCAACATTTCAATCGTTTATGAACCACGTCCTGGGGCCGTTGCTTTACAAGAATTGTGTGGCCTTCTTAGACGACGTGTTGGTGTATTCTGAGAATGAGGAGCAGCATGTGAGAGACGTCAGAGAAGTGTTGAGCAGGCTGCAAGCCATCCTGCTGTGGGTGAAACTGGAGAAGTGTCAGTTTCATACCAAGGAGGTGGAATTCCTGGGGTATCGCCTGTCTGACAAGGGGTTGGCCATGGATCCCGGCAAGGTCCAGGCGGTACTGGAATGGAAAACACCCAAAACAAGGAAGGATGTGCAGAGGTTTTTAGGGTTTGGGAACTTCTATCGTAAGTTCATCCCAAACTTTGCCCACCTGACGGCGCCCATTACGGACTGTCTCAGCAGTAAGAAGAAGTTCGTTTGGACGGAGGAGGCGGAGCAAGCATTTGAGGAACTAAAAGGGCCTTCGCCTCGGAACAACAGCTCCTGCATGTGGATTTACAAAAAACCGATGAGAGTGGAAACTGATGCATCAGACAGAGCGGTTGGGGCGGTGCTTCTCCAGCCAGGGAAGGAGGAGTCAGAGTGGAGACCGTGTGCCTTTTTTTCGCGAAAGCTGAACAAATCCGAGAGGAACTACACGGTGTATGACCGAGAACTACTAGCCATTCATGAGGCGTTCCGGAGATGGAGGCACCTGCTAATTGGCGCACAACATAAGGTGCTAGTGTGCACTGACTATAATAACCTAGAGTTTTGTAGGAGTGCACGATTGCTCAACCAACGGTATGTGAGATTGGATAAGGAATTCTCCTAATTTAACGTTGAGATTTGTTAGGTGCCATGCCGAGAGATTATTAGGGCGGACGCTCTCTCACGCAAACCTGAATATTTGGAGGGAGGGAGCACCCGAAGAGAGACATGTCATTCCAGAGGACCGCTGGGTGTGTGGGGCGGCATTGGTGGGACAAAGAGAACTGGTAGAAGAAACAGAGAATGATGAATACGCCCAGAATAAGCTTAGAGGTCTTAGGGATGAGGGAGAGGAATCAAGGGGTTTCGAGGAAAGAAATGGAGCTTTGTATTACAAAGGGGCACTGTATATCCCTGAAGGAGACTTAAGGGGAGGGTACTCAAGCAGTTGCATGACAGCCCCACGGCGGGGCATTTTGGGCAACACAAAACCATGTGGTTGGTCACCAGGGAATTTTGGTGGCCTAAGGTGAGGGAGGATGTACGTGAGTATGTAAGAGGGTGCGAGCAGTGCCAGCGAGCCAAAGGGGAAAGGCGGGCGCCGGCGGGGCTGTTAGAACCCTTACCAACACCAGAACGACCTTGGGAGGCAGTGTCGATAGATTTTATGACTGATCTGCCGAAGTCCAAAGGGAAAACAGCCATCATGGTGGTGGTAGACCTACTAACAAAGATGTGCCACTTTGTAGCTTGCTCGCATGCAGTCACGGCGGAAGAGACAGCAAAGTTATTTGTAGAACACATTTTTAGGTTGCACGGGGTGCCATTGAGGGTGGTCTCAGACCGAGGAAAACAATTTACTTCCAGGTTCTGGAGGAAGCTCATGAGCTTACTGCAGGTGGAGGTCAACTTTTCGACTGCCCGGCACCCTGAAACCAACGGGCAGGCGGAAAGAGCAAACGGTGTCCTCCAGCAATACCTGAGGTGTTATGTCAATGACAGAGAGAATGACTGGGTAGAAAAGTTGGCGCTGGCGGAATTTGCCTACAACAATGCCGAGAATGTGTCCACAGGGATGAGCCCCTTCTTGGCTAATTATGGGTGTCATCCCAGGGCTTTCCCAGGGGAGAAGGGAGAGATGGAGCGTACCGGCAGCCGAGCATTTTGTAGAAGAAATGGAAGCAATCCACCGTCAGCTCCAACTCAACTTAGAAAGGGCGAAGGAAGAATACAAGAGGCAGGCAGACAAGAACCGAAGGGAAGGTGAAACCATAAGGGTTGGAGAGAGGGTGTGGCTGTCAACCCGAGGGTTGCCGTTCAAAGGAGGTTGTAAGAAATTAAGACCCAGGAGGTTGGGTCCCTTTGAGGTCATTCAACAGGTCAACCCAGTGGCTTTCAGGCTCCGGTTACCCAACCACATGAAACTGCACCCAGTATTTCACAGGTCGTTACTGTCACCGTACGAGGGGACGAGAAGGGATGGCCACTCGGGGACCGGTCATAGAAGAAAGAGAATGCAGCAGTCATGTGGCAGAAATCCTTGATGCCAGGTGGAAGGGGAATCAGGTGGAGTATTTGGTAGCGTGGGAAGGAGAACCGGAGTCAGAAAACACGTGGGTAATGGCCAAAGATATCAATGACGAGGTATTGATAGAAATGTTCCATCAAAGGTTCCCGCGGAAACCTCAGCCTGTGGAGAGGTTCCGGAGGGAATACTTTGGGACCACTGAGGAGGAGGAGGAGTTGGAAGGATTCCCAGAATCGGAAGGGGAGGGGAGATGGACTCGGAGGAGGAGGAGTGCTTCGAGACCAGGAACCGCAACAGGTGGAGAGAAGTGTTCGAGACATCGGAAGATGAAGGAAGTTCATTCCGGGGTTTTGCCTCCTCACCGCCCGTAGAGGAGGGCGAGAGGGGGTGAAGGGGGCCCTGGAGGGGAGGTGGATGTCAGGGAACTGCCATCGGTAGGAAGGGAGGTGAAAGGACTCAGACAGGTTGGAAGAGACTTAGCAGCTGAAGAGGAAACCAGCAGGGGAGAGAAGCTGTACTGCGGGAGGTGAAAGGGCTCAGACAGGTTGGAAGAGACTTAGCAGCTGAAGAGGAAACCAGCAGGGGGAGAAGCTGAACTGATGGAAAGGGAGCTGGGGGGATGGCTCAGAGATACTTCCAGCGAAAACAGTGGTGAGGTTTCCGGACCTCCTGTAGCGACACCCACTCCTCGCCGGAAACTGTCACGCAGAGAGTCCAGAAGACGTGTTTCCGTTAAGGAGCTTTTATGTTGGAAGCGATTACGAAAGCAACCACTGTCGGAATCTTCTAGTGACTAAGAGGAGCCATGTCAGAGGGGCTCAGTCACAGACAGAGGTTTGTGGACTTGAACAAACTCTGAGGGAATACGATTTTAC